ACAGAAACAGAAAAATCAAGGAGGCTTGTTACAGGACATAACACAGCTAATGAATTTACTATCTTGGAGCACTCACAAGAGACTCTAATTGCAAGAATACAAAAATACATCAGGATTTGATTGTTTGTTTCTGTTGTTGGTTGGTTGGGGTTTTTTTGGTAGGGGTGGTGTACCCCTGTTGGGAGCAATTGGATGTTTCGATGAGAGAAACGCATCCAGTGTATGGTTAAAAATTACTCAATTAAGCAACCTTGAAAACTGTATATACAACTAATTGGAGTTTGTATAAATATCTAGGTTTAAACAAGCAGGTTAGCAGCCAAAACAATAATAAAAGCCAGAACATTTATAAATACTTATAGCACAGTCTAGGATTTACTTAGGCTACACTATAAAGCAAATTCTTACGTTTACTGATCTCTAGACATTGTAAACAATTCAACAATAGCAAACAGTTGTCAAAATACTGGAATAAATAGGTTTATAGTTTTAATTTTAGATACTCAAAATAATTTCATGGATTTGAGTGCATGAACCAATGTCAACTACCAAGGATTTAGCTTGCAAGAAGTAACACTCAGTAAACACAGTAACACTCAGTAAACCATTTCACCAAAGAGGCCTAACTGAAATTTTGTTATGGTTGTAAACAGAAGTTAAAGAGGGCAAAGAAAATTAATCCACATAAAAATCCGCAGATTTTACCTAATTAATCTGTGCTGTCTTGTAAATAAGGGGCGGGGAGAGGGAAGGCAGATGAGAGAAACAGAGATGGAAGATCAGAAACTGAAAACACCTCAGCTGGAATCTGATCAATACCCAACAGTCCTGCTCACATATTTCAACAGCATTTCTACTATTTACCAACAGCACTGTCAGCTTGTGAACCCTCCTAACCACTTCAAACTGCCTTTGCCAGGCTTTTCCTACTTATGTTTATGCTGATAATTATTCCTGTTTAAACAGGTCATTCAAGGCAGCAAAAACTATTAGATACTATTCATCCCCCAAGTGAATTCAAATTACCATTACGTAAGGAGAGGGAGGGAGGTTGCATCTGCTATATGCTTGCACCTCCTATACCTAGACAAGGTAAGGTATGCAAAACTAGTTATCCTTTACTATAACAGTAGCTGTAATCAAAAGAAAAAGTAAAAAATGTTTTTACAAATGTTACAAATGTGTCAATTATGTGCCTATAGCATCTTAATAACAGAACCGCCCTGACAAGAGATACCAGATATTCAAACAAAAAGTGAAGAAAAATATGCTTGAGACATTACCTAATAAGCAGGTGTTCCAAGTCAATAGAGAATTAAGTATTTTAAAGGGCAGTACAGAGGGTCTGGCCAAGACACTGAATGAAAAGTTACTTAGACACAGTCAAAAGAAAACAGTTGCATCGTGAACGTGGATGAAAGTGTTTGATCTCTGTACTGTTTGGAAACCTCACTGGCACTTCCTGTCAAAGATAACTGTATACATCTCACATTGCTGCAAGCATTTTTTCAGGTATTGAAGTGTAACTTTACTAGGTCTAGAGCATTCAAAAATACCTAACTTACCTAAATACTTATCTAACCTTTTATCTAAGCCAAGTACTTGCACACTTGTTAACACAGCTCATTGAAACTAAGTGAAGGCCAGAACAAGAAGGGGATTAAAGCACAGTCCTTCCCATCACATTGCTTTCTGTGATGGCTGCCTAACAAAGTAGTCTTTTACCCCGATTCATACTAATGGAGTTACTTAGGAATACGATTTTCTTCCCTGTTATGTTCTTTTCTGAATCTTGGCCTTTCCAATACTGGCCTTATATGTTCAAATTACATTTGTTTTCACTTGTATAGGTTGTCCTTCCTTCTCCTTTCTGCACTGCCTTTTATATTTCAGGTCATTCATTTCTTGCAACAATCTGAGCCATGAGTGTTTCCACATATCACATCTTCCTTTAGTATTGAGACGGTCTACATTTTTACCATTCAATCTGAGAGCTTTTTAACAAGAAAAAAATTTCTGTAATTATTTCTGTGTTCATGTATTTTGTTTGAGCAGCATCATCACACAACTTTACTACACAGATTGAATTTGGATAGCTTTAATATGATATGATGAATTCTCTCATTTATGAAAAACCAAAGTTAATGTTAAGCATGCTCATTAAAAACTCATTAATTAAGCTCTCAAATTTACAGAAGCTGAAACCCCTGTAAAATTAGGCGTTATACATATATTAAGAGCCTATCAACAGGTTATCAGTCTTAATTTAAACAGGCCAGCTATAAAATACCACAAGATCACAACTTGCTCCCTACAGCATTTAAAAAAAAATAAATTCCCTTGGGTATTAAATCATTCAGAGGCAAAAAAATGCATGCCTTTAAAAATTTAAGACACATATATAGCACTTGTGCAATGCTCTAGCACTCAAAAAGCAGTGGCCATTTGTTAGAAGGAAAACAAAAAAACAAACAAACCAAAAACCCCAAACACACAACTTGCCTTTTTTTTTCTTTTTTAATCACTACTAGAACATTTAATAGATTTAGGAAAATTTAATTTCAATACTACATGATTTATGTAAAATTTAACAGTTTTATCACGACACACAAAGACAAACACTGCACGGAAACACACAGCTGTAATGGAATTGCTTTGGGAGCATGCAAGCAAACACAAAAAACTATTAAGTTTACACAAAATACGAAGACAAAAAATAGTGGTGTTTTTTTTTAAAAGACCTTAGTTCCAGAATTTTAGTAAACAGCCAGCCAAAAAAATTATCAGTAGACTTCAGATACACTGTGAGTGTTGGAATCTGCTAATCAATGATGCACTCCATATAAAAACAGTACTCTACTGCTATTACTACTAATAGTTACTGCCTTTTGGCTAGCAGAATGCAATTTCTAGGTCCTTTGAGATATTCGGAATGAAAGAAATGTTGCAGATGCACAGACCATTTAACACAGTTTAAACTGCAAAAAAGCATGATGCAGTAGACCAGGAAAAAAATAAACTCCTAAGATGATGCTTCACCAATGCTACACAGCAGTTCTGGGCCTCTTAGAGCAAGATACAGGTAGTTTTATATACCCATTTTCACAATAAGCAAGTAAACAGGCTGTGTAGAGAAAAAAATTGTTTTGCTGTAGTACACAAGCACCGTTCTGAGAAATGAGAAATTTCATTTGAATAAAAATATACTAAAGCCTCTAAAAAATAAGAACTACTTGAAAAGGAAATAATAAAAACAAAACCAAGTTACATGTACATTAAAAAAAAAACAACTGAATATCAAAACTCCAAAGTAAAATTTATTGAGATTTAATTAAAAAAAATAAGCAAGACAGTTAAAGTGCATCTAATTTCATAAGAGTTGCCTCACAGAGGCATAAACTGCCATGAGTAACCACCAGCAATCTACAGAGCAAGAAAAATAAACTTTTCCTTTTTTGTAATGTATAAATATTGCCCAAAAGATTTACACATTGTTCCATATCTTACATTAAATATTCTACCTGCCTTCCCTCAACTGAAAGAAACTATGACAACTTCAGAACTTCAGTACACAAATCAAATAATTAGGATGACACAGTTTTGCTGAAAGATACGCTAACTCAAACCTTTCAAATAAGCCTCTCTTAATCAGTAATGGATATGCTATATTGAGCCTTACTGCTATAGATCAAGGACTACTACCTTCTCTCCAGCACTTACCTATCATGTTGCAGTGTTTAAGACTCCATATAGAGACTGAACTTCACGAAGATGCTACAAATACTTTGACTGACAGAAAATTACTGCAGATATGAAACCAAATAAGGATGTCATTTCGGAAAACAGAAGCATGAAAACAAAAATGTCCACGATGCAAAAAGCTCCAGGAGAAGCTTACAAAATCTGATTAATGTATATGAGTACCTAAGAATAGATTTGCACGTAGGGAATACCTCGAGAGTGCTTCACACCTACAGATGTAAAAACATACCTGTAAAAAAACCCTGAATCTCTGTGTTTGCTTTTGCTGACGCTACAGACACCTGGAATGCACCCTGGAAGTGGTCGCTTTGTCGCTGCACACATCTGTGCCTGACAGACCTTTGATACTGTTTTCTTGTACCTACTAAAGGGACCTCAAGAAAGTACACTCAAACAGAACACTCCTGCCTTCACAACTGGCATGTTAATTTAATTCTATAGACCACTGCCTACTTCGCCTAGTACAGCTGGTCATCACCTCTGCAAACATCAAGGTAGGCTTTACTCCTGGGTTTTTAAGGCTAAAAGTGACAAATATTCTAGACCTACAGAGGACAGCACCAAGAAGAGACGGGACGTCACCGCCGTTCGCAGAGAGGCCACTCACTCCCGCGAGCACGACCCTGACACTCGAATACCATCCAAGCCCCTGGCGTTTATGCTCAGTTCATTTCCGGGCGGGGAAACCGCCCGTACGCCAGTTTCACATTCCCGCAGAGCCGGGTCAGGCTCCAAGCTCCAAGCTGCCCGCGCAGTCCTTCCAAACTTTACGCGACCGTCAGAAGCACCGCGGCCAGCGAAGGTCCGCCCCATCAGCAGAGACCACGGGCTGTCCATGACTCCCTAGCACTTCGCCTGGGTTTCTCTTTGCCCCCCGCCAGCTGTTTCCCCACAGCTCCTCCCGCCCGGCCGCTCCCTGCTGTCGCAGGCGGCGGTCCCGCGCCCGCCGCGGACACCGCCTCCAGCCCGCCCGCCCCCACGGCTATTTTTAAGCTGCAGGCAGGTGGAGCGGCGGCTAAGCTGTCGGGCAGGCGGTCCAGCACGGCTCAGCACGGCCCTGCTTGGCTCGGCAGGCCCGGCCCGGCCCGGCCCGGCCCGGCCCGGCCCGGCTCGGCTCCCCGCCCGGGGACCCCGCCCGGGGACACCGCCCCAGCCTCTCCCCGCTGCGGGCGGCAGGGCGAGCCCGGACGGGCAGGAAGGGACGCAGCGGCAGCAGGGGAAGGCAGACAGGCCCATACCTCCCCAAATGCCCAGCTTCAGCTGGGAGCTGTCCAAGTTCACCACGTAGTCGCCGAGGAAACGGTTCAGAACGTCCACGACCAGCGACTCAAACACCATCCTGCCGCCGCCCCTGCACCAGCAGCAGCGCCGCCGCCCCGGCTCCTGCAGCTGCGCGGCCGATCGCACCGCCCCGCGGCCCGGGGGGCGGCTCCAGGCTGCCCCCGCCCCTCCGCCTCCCCTGCGCGCCGGGGATGAAGAGGCGCGGCTTGGCCCAGGCTACGGGAGCCGGTGGGGGCCGCGCACTTCGGCCTGCTTCAGCCCGCTTCAGTCCGCTTCTGTCCGATCTTTCTCGTGGCCTCTCCGTACGTACAGAGATTCTGATGGGAAATGCAGGGGTTTCGCGCTAGCTACTCTTGTTTGCTTGTAAGGTGTGAGTTAACACAGAATTTGTCAGGTTGGAAGGGACTATCAGAGAAGTCATCTGGTCCAACCTCCCTGCTCAAGCAAGGTCGTCCTAGAGCACGTGGCACAGGATTGCGTCCAAACGGTTCTTGAATATCTCCAGTTAGGGAGACTCCACAACCTCTGTGGACAATCTGTTCCAGTGCACAGTCACCCACCCACACAGTAAGGAAGTTCTTCCTGTTCAGGTGGAACTTCTTGTGTGTCAGTTTCTGCGTGTGGCTTCTTGTCCTATTTCTCAGCACCACTGAAAAGAGCCTGGCTCCACCCTCCTGACAGCCTCCCTTCAGATACTTACAGACACTGATGAAGTCCCCTTTCAGTCGTCTCTTCTCCGAGCTGAACAGTCCCAGCTTCCTCAGCCTTCATAAGAGAGATACTCCAGTCCCTCAGTCATCTTTTTGTCTTCGGCTGGACCCCTCAGTTTGTCCAAGGGATTTAAAAGTGAGATAGCTATAAAGATTTTTTGGATACTTTTCTCCCTCAGACTAGGCAAGTGTAGAAATTACTAAGCTGTTCAAAAATGGCTGAACTATTACTGGCATAATGGCTAAAGCAAGTTGAACTGAATTTCTGTCTCCAAAGAGCTTAACTCTCAGGCTGTTTTTCGACTTGGGTAATGCTGAATCACACTGGGCCATATTTACCCTGAGTGGTTGTACCGAAGCCCTCTGTGCTCAGAAGGTTTGTTCAGGAAACTTCCTGGTCTGACCATTCACAAGAGTCCTTGGCAGACCCCCACACCAGAGACCTTCACTGCTGGGACTGAAGGCCCTTCCCAGCAGACGGCTCTCGCTTGACTCTCTATACACATATACTCACACAGTCAGACCAGTTTTCCCTAGAGATTTGACCCCAGGTTTCCCATACCAGAGTCTCAGATGTCCCATTCCACAAACCAGTTTGTTCCCCATGCAGTAACACAGAAACAGCTTGAGCCGAGTGCCTCTAAGGAGAGACTCCCAGCCAAGGAACCCCTGGGCTTTTATATCCTCACAGTCCAAGCTGCACACAAGTCTTCCTCCTCCTAAGTCTTCAGCTCCTGCTGTGTCTCGCAGTGTCCATCCACCTGGCTGGCAACACTCGACTTCGTGCCCTTTGTTAACCAAAGTGTTGACAGTTCACTGCCTCTTGCCTCAGGCTCCCACCCAGAACTCAATCTGCAGCTTGCTAACTGAGCTACCTGTACCAGATGTATTTCTCCACAGGTTCCTCTGCCACACTGCCACAAGGCTTTCTCTGCTGATAGCAGGAAGAATAGAATTACCCTCCAACTTGTTCCTGGAACTGCAATAATTAGGTTTGAAATTAACATTAAGTATTTTATATTTTATTATTTTCTATATTGTTTTCTATAGCACGGGGTATTAGATTTCCATGGCAGGTTTGTGGGGATGGAGGGCTGCCTCCCTAAGAGACAAAGGGCTGCCCTGTGCTGGGCACAGCCAGTTCTATCTGCTTCAAACTGAGCCACAACAGGGCACAGCTGAACTCTTCAACAGTAATCCAGTCACCTCTTGAGACCCTTGATCCCTTAAGCCCCTAATGGTTTTTTATTTTTCTAATATTTGTAAGACTTGTAAGTTTTATAAGTAGGTTTTAAAAGCAGCAACCCCCCCCCCTCCTTTGTCCCTTGTCCCTTTCCCTTTCTCTAGCACCCTTGTTTACACATTCCTTAACCCTCTTACCCCATTCTATGCTCCCTATATCAATCCTACCCCTGAATATAGCAGAAATGTTTAGTCTGTTGTCAAGGCAAGGCCTAGATTGTTGGCAGAACAGCATATCAGGGCCTAAACCACAGAATATGGTCAAGAATTAGTTAACTATGTACCCTTTGTGCTCTGATGAAGAGGAAGGTGGGATGAACACGGGGTCCCAAAACCCCCAGACCCATTTCTCAGGGGGTGGACCCCGGGGCGGACCAGAGTAACGGCCACAGGGTGGACACATCTGGGATTGGATGGATGGTATTATAAAATGTAACATCTCAGGCATGGCCGGCGTGCACATCGTGTAACATCTACTGCCTTGGCAAAATAAACCCTTTCTTATCTCACCCCTAATTAACTGCTCTGGAGATTTTTTCAGCACCAAAATTTCACGGCAACACCCTATTTAAAAAAGGGTAAAACAGGCTGTAGAGCAGCTGTGAAAGAAGTGAGAACAATGTGGGAGAAACAGCACAAGATTCTCCTGGAGCCCGAGAAGACCATGCTGGAGCAGGCTGTTCCTCTGCAGCCTATGGATGACCACAGTGGAACAGATACTCACCTGCAGCCTGAGGAAGACCCCACACCACAGCAAGTGGCTGTGCCCTTAAAGAGGCTGCAGCCCATGGAATGCCCACACAGGAGCAGCTTTTGTGTCATGATCTGTGGCCCATGGGGGACCCACACTGGAGCACTGAAAATTCTTATCCTTGTCTCTTCCGTGTGGCAGGCAGTGCTTTCAAAATGGCTTTGACTCAAAAGAATGAAGTACAGTAAATAAAGCAGGATGAACTCATTAATATGTCCCCCAAAACAAAATTATATCAATCTTATAGGTCTATCAAATTTTTTGAATTATTTCTTGGAGTATTTGAGAATATAACTGCAGCAAAACACACAGTGCAGGGATGCCTTATTTCTAAATCTTTCAGAGACACACGGTTTTTAATTTCCTTCAGAATCAGCTGAATCATGGTGAAATGTTTGCTCACACAAATTTTTCCTCAGGACAAGGTGAAATATGTGTAAGTGCTAAACTACTTCAATTATACATGCAGCAGTGTAGTAACTGGTCAAAAGTGTAGTAATCCTAGTAAGTCCATAGTACTGAGCCTGAACTGCTTAAACATGTTGAAACCCAAAGACAAAACCACTCCAGAATTTTCCATCCGTTCTTGCTGTGCAATAAAAAGTCCGAGGTCTTTTTATCAATAAAACATTTCAACTAAACTTGAAAGACAGTTCTTGTAGTTCAAGGTACAAACTAGAGAATAATTATATTCTTCCTGCCATTGTCAAAGAAATGCATTCAGTAGTTTGGCAAAACAGAAACTTTAGGAGTCCAACAACCACCTGAACACTTTCAACTGAGAAGACCCTGATCTTCAAAGTTTATTCAAAATTGTAGTCTAACATATCAATAGACAAAAGAGGTCTCTCTGGTATATTGACAGATCTTCTCGTTTTTTAAAAGAAGTTATGAAGTACTATACTTAACATTATAAATACTTCATTTATACTTCGTATCTATAAATATAATTTACACCAGATTTATGAATTTGCATTTCATTTTAAATTTGTTAAGTCACTCATAAGCACTGAAAAACAACATGACATATAAAGAAAAACAGAATTGGAGATACTATACTTTGCATGTGCAAAGTAATACAAACTTATCTTACCGTCTGGAAGTACTGTTGCAGGATAAATTTAAAGTCTGACACTGAACATATTTTGTTACATATCCTTGCCTTTTTCTTGACTCATAAAAGTAGTTGTCAGGAAACACAAGGCATTACAAATAAAACCTGGATTTCAGTCAAAATCAATTGACTTGTCTGAGAAATTAGTGTTGATGGAAAAATGTAGTCTTGGTAAAAGGACACTGTCTTCCTTTTGAGCAGAATGTAAAGTAAAGTAGATTATGTACGTTTCTGGTAGGCCCAGTTCTGATTTATTTTGGACAGGGGTATTAGGATGAAACCTGCATATATGTCTTGCAGTTAAATAGGGGTTTATAAACTATACACATGTAGTATGTCATTCGTATTGATAGTAGTGTGAAAAGTAGATAAACACAGCTGAAGATATGTTACATGCCTAGCTAGGTTGCAAATATTTGTTTATATCCTACATTATGGGATCTTGTGTTGGTTTTAAAATCAGTATAGACTTGTTGACATTAAAGTGTTTTTTATTTCTATGATTCTTTATGCCTACTATGTTGAAAAAGTTTAAAACCTTTTTTTTTTTTCCATTTAAACAAGTTATTATATTGAAATGACTTGAATTTTATCTTTACCCACTTCTCTGGGAAAAAAAATTAGTTCAAGCTGTCACATGAAAACAGGAGATTTTCTCAAACCCTTAATGTTTGATTAGTCTATCTGTGCCCTTGAAGGACTCAAATTAACAGTTTACAGAATGGCAGTCTTTATTAATATAATTGGGACAGGTTAAGGTTTGAGGATTTCCAGTGATAATATCTGACTGGAAAAACATTCAAAGCAATATACTAATTCAAAGCAAAATACTAACAAGTTCTAATCCCTAACAAAAGCTAGTTCAAGATAATTCAGCACACATAGAGTACAGATTTTACCCAGTAGGCTTCCCTATGGGGGAAGAGGCAGGTTCAGCCCTGTCATAGGTTTACTTGTTCTAAAAATCCAAGCAGAAATTTTCCTTTTTCCTGTCTCGCTGTAAAGGAAGGTGTTGAACGGGGGAGGGGGAAGGGGTAATTGACTATACAAAAGAACTAGCTGGCAGACCTGTGTTCCAGGCTGATAGCCTTCTCTAAGGCTGGGGTGTGGGGGAGGGAGGGGAGGGGAGTTTTTCTCCCCTCCTCTCTTTGGAAAGAGGCACTTCACTTTTTGCCTTAACAGTGGCAAGATGTGTGTTGGCCGTTTTGCTGTCGACCTGGTCATCTGGCTGTTCTGCAGCCTCGGCTTGCCTGCAATCTGCTCTGTCGCCAGCTGGACCTGCTCAGATTTCATCGGAGAGGTTTGGCGTATC